AATATCAGACTCCCCAGACTTTGGGAATGAAATCACAACTTTCTGATTGTTGATCTCTGGAATCAAATCAGTTTCAAAATATCACATAAGCACATAATTTGCATTCATTCCTATTTGGGGGCAGGGTTGCCCAGTCCTAATTTAGAAATGAGATCTACAATTCACTAGATCATTCAAGGAGGCAATAATACAATCCTAGAAAGGACGACATCCTGCCCTAGTTTGGAAGGTGCTAATGCTCTCTATATGCAAAAGGTAAGTTATGTCACAAAAAAGTACATCAGTTATTACTATCAATATAACACTCCTTCCACAAGGAAATGATTAAACAGTACTAGTAGCATAATCTGATGCTTGCCTTGTTGACATAACATAACCCACGAATAGTGTCTGGGATATTATGCAACAAACATGAGGATAGATGAATGGATCCAGTCAATTTTGTTTAACACTTACCATCGGATCTCGAAGTCATCCTCATCACCCATTGGGTGATAGCTGCCCAACCAAGGCAATTTTGAGGAATTTTAATGATTCCTACCAGAGTGATCAATCTAAACAACTGCCTTTCCATTATTCATTGTTTCCGAAAAGTGTCCCAATTTATTTTCAAAAGTGCATGATCAAATTTCAACTTCAATTTTTTTTTCAAAATAAAGTGCCTTTTTTATTTAAATTTTCAAATTTTTCACTTCCTCTTTTTCTTCAAATGTTTCGAGTTCGGATTTTATTCCGAGGAATCAATCAAACAATCATCCTTTAGCCGAATATCTTACGGAGGAACCAAAATTTTATTCAAAATCAGAGACTTGGTCATCACTACTTTGTCTAACGTTTCTCCATAAAATTAAGGATCCCTCAAAGTTAGTGGCCCAAGGATTTTTACTCGATGAAAAGAACTTTCCATAATTTGCGAGTCTACTCAAATTTTATTTTCAAAAAATTTCCAAGGAATTTAAGATCTTATTCGAAGAAATCAATCAAACAGTTACCTTAAAATCAAATGTCTTCTAAGGAAATTCAAAATTTCATTTCAAAGTGAGAGACTCGGTCATGACCTCCTCATCTAACACTTTTCCATAACATCAAATTCCCTCTAAAGTCAGAAACCTAAAGATTTCCGTCCGATCAAAAACTTTTCATAATTTCTAAAATTCTACTCGGATTTTCTTTCAAAATTCTTTCCTCCCAATGAGCTTTGAATTTTATTCCAAGTATCCAATCAAACAATTGTCTCCTTAGTCAATTATCTTTTGGGGGGATTTCGAATTTTATTCAAAATTTAAGATTTGGTCACCACTTCCTTATCTATCACTTTTCATAAAAGTTGAAATTCCCCCTAAAGTCAATGACTTAAAGACTCTTATTCAATCAAACACCTTCCACAACCTCCAAGGCTCTACTTAAGTTGGAAAGTTTCTCTTTTTTAAAAGTTACTCTTTAATCACATGTTTTATTGCAGATTTAAATTTTAAAAAGGCAAAAATTCTTTCTTTCTTTTTTCTTTTTTGATCACTAAGGTAACAACCCAAATTCAAACTCAAATTCTTCCGAATTGGGAAACAACCCCCCTAATTTACTGCTGATTACTCAAATCATTATCAAATATGAATTCAATGCCTAGACTGAACACCCAAATCTTTGTAATTGGATCCTTGCCCCCCAAAGAACTAGGATTGCAACAGAATCAAATCCCTGCAATATCAGACTCCCCAGACTTTGGGAATGAAATCACAACTTTCTGATTGTTGATCTCTGGAATCAAATCAGTTTCAAAATATCACATAAGCACATAATTTGCATTCATTCCTATTTGGGGGCAAGGTTGCCCTATCCTAATTGAGAAATGAGATCTACGATTCACTAGATCATTCAAAGAGGCAATAACACAATCCTAGAAAGGACGGCATCCTACCCTAGTTTGGAAGGTGCTAATGCTCTCTATACGCAAAAAATAAGTTATGTCACAAAAAGGTACATCAGCTATTACTATCAATATAACACTTCTTCCACAATGGAATGATCAAACAGTACTAGTAGCATAATCTGATGCTTGCCTTGTTGACAAAACATAACCCATGAATAGTGTCCGGGGATATTATGCAACAAACATGAGGATAGGTGAATGGACCTAGTCAATTTTGTTTCACACTTACCGTCGGATCTCGAAGTCGTCCTCATCACCCATTGGGTGATAGTTGCCCAACCAAGGCAATTTTGAGGAATTTTAATGATTCCTACCAGAGTGATCAATCTAAACAACTGCCTTTCCATTATTTATTATTTCCCGAAAATTGTCCCAATTTATTTTCAAAAGTGCGTGATCAAATTTCAACTTCAATTTTTTTTTCTAAATCCTTTTTCAAAATAAAGTGCCCTTTTTTATTTAAATTTTCAACGTTTTCATTTCCTCTTTTTCTTCAAATGTTTTGAGTTCGGATTTTATTCCGAGGAATCAATCAAACAATCATCCTTTAGCCGAATATCTTACGGAGGAACCAAAATTTTATTCAAAATCAGAGACTTGGTCATCACTTCCTTGTCTAACATTTCTCCACAAAATTAAGGTTCCCTCAAAGTCAATGGGCCAAGGGTTTTTACTCGATGAAAAAAACTTTCCATAATTTCCAAACTCTACTCAAATTTTATTTTCAAAAAATTTACAAGGAATTTAAGATCTTATTCGAAGAAATCAATCAAACAGTTACCTTATAGTCAAATGTCTTCTAAGGAAATTCAAAATTTCATTTCAAAGTGAGAGACTCAGTCATGACCTCCTCATCTAACACTTTTACATAAAATCAAATTCCCTCTAAAGTCAAAACCTAAAGATTTCCGTCCGATCAAAAACTTTTCATAATTTCTAAAAGTCTACTCGAGTTTTCTTTCAAAATTCTTTCCTCCCAACGAGCTTTGGATTTTATTCCAAGTATCCAATCAAACAATTGTCTCCTTAGTCATTTATCTTTTGGGGGGATTTGAAATTTTATTCAAAATTGAAGATTTGGTCACCACTTCCTTATCTACCACTTTTCATAAAAGTTGAAATTCCCCCCTAAAGTCAAATGTCTTAAAGACTCTTATTCAATCAAACACCTTCCACAACCTCCAAGGCTCTACTTAAGTTGGAAAGTTTCTCTTTTTGGGAAACAACCCCCCTAATTTATTACTGATTACTCAAATCATTATCAAAACATGAATTCACTGCCTAGATTGAACCCCCAAATCTTTGTAATTGGATCATTGCCCCAAATAACTAGGATTGCAACAAAATCAAATCACTGCCATATCAAACTCACCAAATTTTGGGAATGAAATCACAATCTTTCTGATTGTTGATCTCTGGAACCAAATCAAATCAGTTTCAAAATATCACATATGCACATAATTTGCATTCATGCCTATTGGGGGGTAGGGTTGCCCTGTCCTAATTTAGAAATGAGATCTACGATTCACCAAATAATTCAAAGAGGCAATGATACAATCCTAGAAAGGAGGGCATCCTGCCGTAGTTTGGAAGGTGCTAATGCTCTCTATGCAAAAGGTAAGTTTGGTCACAAAGAGGTACATCAATTATTACTATCAATATACCTCTCATTCCACAAGGGAATGATCAAAAAATATATAAATACATAAATAAATAAAACAAAGTGGATAATTATTGGACACCCCACAAAATGGAAATTTCCATATAACACCAAGAATATATCTGGTAACAAGAAAAATATGGCATTAACAACAGAATCAAGAGAAGCAGATTCTAACACATGTTTCTCCAACACTAGTGCCATCTCTGCCGAAGCCACTTCTGCGTCATTTCGGTTCAAAATGATTTAGGTTACTATCAATTATGTCTTAACAGCTAGCATCACAAAGAGACACAATTAAAAGGGCTTCAAAGATTTGAGTCAAGGACCAAAATACTATACAAGCACAAAAGATATAATTGGACTCTACTGTACTATTCACGATTAACTAAATATTTGGAAAGAGCGAAAGCACCAATAAAAGGAAGAAGATGATTCGTAGAAGCAATTTTCCTTATCCAAAAAATTGTGACCTTAAAAATTGTGCCTCACCTAGTCTCAATTAGAGCAATCCCCCCCCCCCAAAAAAAAATAAATAATTAAATAAAAAGGTTATTTCTCAATACCACACTTCCCCTGCAAAATAATTCAAAACACGATGAGGTACAAGTCCTTAAGCAGAACTTCACTCAATTTCTAGAGAGCTTGACAAAAAGTTCTTAGTCGGTAAATTTTTCAATTCAATTTTTAATTTGTTGTTAAATTGTTTCAAGCATGAATTTATTGATCTTTTATGTAGTTTAAATCATGTTTACAAGATGGAATGAAAAGAGGCTTTAGTAAAGCAAAAGCATAGCTATTTTGGGGGTGAGTTTTCATGATTGTGTAGAATTTAAATTGTGCAGAGGCCTGACTTTGATGAATTTTTAAAAATAGTTCTCTACCTCGTAATTTCATGAAATTTTAACAGGCCATCCCTCCATGAGCCTAGTATATTGTGCAATAGAAGAAAATTCCAATAAATGAATTTTAAATAAATCTCAAACTAGGTTGTGTTTTGTTTTACTACTATGCTGAATTCTATTTTAACCTACTGTTTTCTATACATTTTTTAGTCGAAGAGACACTTGAAACAATTCAAAATAAGTCAAATTTCTTGAAGTTGTGCTAGGGGAGCACAATAAATCATTGCCTTCAAACTCTATTGCAAAATGTGCTAAAATTTTATTGGATTTTCACCAAAAGTTTATCATTAGATCTTCAAGTTTACTATCTAAATCAAAAATGAAAGTGTAAAAGAATCAAGCCTTATTATGTTGCAGACGCATAGAAGAAGTGTAAATTGAATCAAATTATGGTTAACAACCTCACCTATCCACTTCAATGAAAAGCTAAAACACTTCCACTTAAACAAAAACACATTCAGAAAGTAGCATTGACAGCAAAATCGATAGAAACAATACATACACATACCTATAGGGCAAAGGAAAATCATATTTGGATCTGAGACAGAGAGGGCACAGATTGTCAATACAAAATCAAGGCATCGACATTTCTACCCTGCAATGAATCCAATATTAAAGAGATGTTCGATAAGGACCAACAACATATGGTGAATGTCATTGTATTTTTATAAGAAAAGTGAGGTCATACCACCCAGAATAGAGTAAACAACACAAATATAAGATCGGCTCTACAGGAAACGTAAGCATGAGATGAGATAAATCTGTTTAAACTAACAATATTATCATCATGACAATAATCTGTTTGACCCATCATAATCCCTTTGTTGCCAAATTAATGAGCCCATAAGAAGCTCGAGGAAAAGCCAATTCAATGTAGAGAGAAAGCTCATAACTTGGTCTAATTTCTTAATATGGATTCATAAAAAGCAAGCTAACAAATCAACCCAAAAACAAAAATATTTGCGTATAAAACTATGGCTTTATGGTAATTATGTAATCATCCTCTGTTTTTGGAATTATACAAAAAAATTTAACATCAGTTATTAAATGTTTAGCTAATTTTATTTTTATTTTTTTTAAATGAAAAAGAAAGAAAGATAGAAAAGAAAAGGAAAAAGATAGTACAGAGAACTCTAGGTCAACACCAAATCAAAGCCCTAAATATAAGAGACCAGAAACTCTAGATTGTAGCATTTCGAATTAGCTAGCTCGGGATCTGCATCTGTTCAATCCAGATCAAAGTCATTCAAATCAAAAACAACATCAGCCAAGTCCATATTTGATTAGGCCACAACAATAAATAACCAAACCAATAAAAGTAGTTTGATCTCAAATCCAACATCTACGAATCGAATGCAAATGACACGCATGAGGTGGATCGAAGCCCTAACTGTTGGAGAGACAGAGACAAAGAGAGAATGAGACAAAGAGAGAAAGAGATCGAGGGAGGAGAGGAGAGGAGAGGAGCCCTAACCTGTTCAGATCAATTGAAGAAGCTGAGGTATTCTTCGTCTGCTCTCTTCTTCTTCTTCGTCTTCGTCTTCGTCTTCGTCTTCTGTCTTCATCTTCTTCTCCTTCTCCTCCCTTTTCTTCTTCGCCTATTCTCTCTCTCTCTCATTTCACTTTCCCCTCTTTTGTTTCTCTTTTTTTATTTTCTTTCCCCCTTTTTATGATTCACCCGTTTCTCTCTCTCTCTCTCTCTCCCCTCTCTTTTTTTTTTCTTTTTTCTCTTTTTATCCTTATTTTTATTAAACTTAAAATTCGTAAAATAAATTATTTTTATTTAAAAAAACTCATTTTTTATTAAAAAAATTAAAAAAATATGTTTATTAATTTTATTATTATTGTAATTGTATAAAAATTAATAATTTTTCTTTTTATTTTAGACACATAATAAATAAATAAAATTATATATATTAAACGTGTTCTCACCATGTTGTATTCCCTATTTTTTAAAAATTTACGTATTCCCGTGTCCATGTCGTGTCTCGTGTCCATGTCCGTGCATCATGTCATATAACCATGGATATCCCAAGAACTAGTGCAAAACTCAACAATCCAAAGTCTACAAGAGAAACACCTTGAATGGGAGCAACAATAATAATTAATGATTACCGTGTAACAGTTTGAGTTCAATAACAAACATTATGAATCAAACTAGAACATGATTCTCCAGGAACCTAAGGGTTCAGATTATACAGAGCTTAGAATTAGAATTCGAAACTCAAGAGATTCATATATCTAATTAAGATAAATCATCAACCACAACAAGCAACGTAAATTATAGTTAAAATTTGAATCAAATTGTTTACCTGAATCGAAGCTTGAGGCACACGATTCTCAACTGACACCTAACTTGCACCTAGCCCCTACTATCTCCATTGCCTGCACCTAGCCTGTCAAAACCTCCCAATTACATATCTCAGCAAGACAGCCCCTACCTAACATGGTAACCATCTAATGCAAAATGCTTATATCCAACAAGGCATGTGTTTTTTCCTAGGAAATCCAATTTTAAATTACATTTTCTAACAAAAACAAACTATTTCTCAACAACTACACATCCAGTTATCCTCACTTATCTCAGCAAAATCACAGGAAAAAAAAATAAAATAATAATAAATAAAAATGTGGAATCAAATAGAAAGAAATTAGGAAAGTTGAATTGGTGAATCTGAATGAATTTGGTGGGTTTTAATGTTTATCATAAACGAGTTTAGATAGAAACGAACAGGAAAATAAAACCCACGAAATCTGTAGAGAATCTCATGCGATTTTGCAAGAAATGTAACCAATCACCTACTTATATAAAAGCATGAATTGAGTGAGAATGCCAAATAGAGAAAATTGGGAAAATTTATCAGGTGCAGCTAAGCTCACCGATCTCCGGCTGTGCCATGTGGCCGGAGTGGTTTGCCTGGGAATCCAGTAAATGCCGGAGAACCAAGTCCGTCTTCGATGTACCAAGAGAGAGAGAGAAGAAACGAAAAGGAAGCAAATATAGGGTTTGTGTTTTTGACATATTATTTTAAAAATAAATTTTTGAAAAGAATTTAAAATTTTTGAAAATTTGTTTAATTATATATTTTGAAAATAATTTTCAAATGTTGGAGTTTGGGATGATTTAATATATATATATATATATATATATTTTGTAGTTGATTAAATGGGTGTAAGAGAAAAAAGTGATTGAGAAAAAGAAAAGAGAATGAAAAAGTGATTATTAATGTGTAGTTGAAAAATAAGTGATTTTGAAAAAAAAAATTAAAAAATTTTCAACCAAACATGTTTTTGGAGACAAACCAAATGGACTATTATTTTTACAAAAAAACTAGGTCTCAGAATTTGGCACCCCAAATTTATCCACAAACGGATATATGTGGTAGAGATTGAATTCAATTCATGCTTCATTATAGATCATGTATGAAGAAAAATATCATGGGGATTTTTTTTTTTTAAGATCCCTGATACTAAGATTTTATAGCATAATGGATAATCGATATTTTTATAATGCCTAAAGTCCCTCAACATCGATATAGAGAATTTCTCTGGACAAATCACCGAGAAAATTTCAAATTTCTCTGGACATATCACAGAGAAAATTCCAATTCCAAATTTCTCTAGACACATCACAAAGAAAATTCCAAATTTCTTTGGATATATCACAGAGAAAATTCCAAATTTCTTTAGACATATCACAGAGACAATTTTACACATCACCAACACCAAATTTGTAACGCCCTCAAAATAACAACATTAAACCCATCAGATAAAACATGCATTTACATATAAACTAACCACATTCCTTTATTCCTTAGAGTTCTATTACATAAGTATTACATGTTAACATCTTAACAAAATGCCTTACGGGCTTACAGCTTTCCAAGTTAACACTTGGTTACAACAAAGAGTACTAACTCGTTTACACATTAAGCCCTTGGCTTGAAGTTACATGTAATACATCAAAAGTTAAGCAACAAAATATCACAGAGAAAATTCCAAATTTCTTTAGACATATCACAGAGAAAATTTTACACATCACCAACACCAAATTTCTCTAGTTTCAAACCAGAGAAAATTGACATTTCTCTGAGTTCAAACTAGAGAAATTTTTTTCCTTTTCCTTTTCTTATTTCGACTACTGTTTATTAACAATACTGTTGTTGTTGACCATTACTCCATACCTAGTTTATGCAACCATTTATGTATAAACTAATATTTCTACAAAACCCTTTACAATGATATTAGAATTAAACATTCAAAAAATACAAGGACCAACCAACATTCCAACCCTTAGTGAGCATTTTGTGTTGTATGATTTTCCTACCTAGCTAGATCTGGATAAACTTGGCCACCTTGATCTCGCACATCTCTAAACATCGAAAGAAATGAGTTGAACCCTTTAGATAAAGCCTCGCCTAAGATCCACAGTAGCAAGTAACTAAACAAATTCATGGTCCCAGCTTTGTTCACATCTGTAGATGCATATCTTGACTAGGCAAATGTTGTGTTTTCTTGGCGAGATTGTCTTTCACTTTTGTGCATAACGATCGCTGCTTCTGCTTCGTGTATTGGATTGAATTTCTCTGGTTTGGGCTAGAGAAATTCTCTGGTTTGAATTGAATTTTCTCTGGATTGGTCCAGAGAAATTCTCTGGTTTGGATTGAAATTTCTCTGGATTGATTTAAGAGACCTTAGACATTCCCGCCTTGGCATTTCATCAAATACCTTCTTTGCTAAATCCATGTCCCCAGCTCTCGAATACATCTTTTTATGTGGATTTCTTCATTAAATGTTGTATGAAGATTTTAAGATTTAGTTTATTGAGATCAACAACAAAGACAATTAAGAAGAAACAAGAAAAAAGTAAGAGAAACAATGATGAATATTTTCCAGTTGTGCTTGTGGATATATAACTAATGCATTTTGTTTCTGTTTTCATATCTGTTATAATGCTTTATAAATCTTACTAGTGCTCTGCTTCTTGATATTTGTCCTCCGAGGGTAGTGATATTTTTCGACGGAAGAAGCTTCATCGGAGGACTAGTGATCAAAGGAACAACAATGAGGACTAGTGCTCTGCTTCATATAAGTCTTGCTGTATAAAGTACTATCAGGAATCTTCATATAAATCCAAGATATCCATCGGCAAAGCTTTATAAATCTTGCTACTGTGAATTTCTCCGTCGTAGTCAATGCCAATGAAGCTTTAAACAATGATGCGGACGAAGAGGAGAGAGAAAGAGGAGTTGTTTGGTGCAAGAAGAGAGAGAAGAGAGAATGAAAGAGTGGGTGTTATATATGGGTATGGGTAAGGGACCTTAGACTACAAAAAAATTTATTGTGGACCTCTCCTATTACTAAAAATTGGAGAGGGATGTTAGACCAATTTTCCCTAAATAATATGAATGAAATATAAGTTAATTTTTTTTTTAAATCGGTATTTAAATTTATAATCTAAATACAATGAAAATGAAATACTATGTATGAATCTTATAAATAATATACTAAATGGTTGGTGTTTTTTTGTGCAAAGTGTGCAGTAGACGATGATGAACCACCAATGTGGAATTGAAGTCAAGGTCCATGAGACTCTCCCAAACAGAGTCTGGAATTAGGTGAGACTAACAATTTTGACTCCTAGTGAATGATGAATTCTTTCACATATATAATTATATATAACTTTTACTCTCTTTTCTTTTTTATATTTTCTTTATTTTTTTTCTCTTTAGTATGACACAAATGAGAGGAGATGAAGAGATAGAAGTAGAAATTAAGGTTTTTTTTTTTTCAGTGGTTAAAGAGATGAAGAGACTTGAATTTTAAGAATTTTCTTAAATTGAATTGTATAGCATTGAATGGATAAAAATAAGTTCAAGAATTGATCTGATATCTCTTTCATGGACCAATTCTTTCTATTTGATTATGTTTGGATGACAAGAATTATAGAGAAGGAATATGTGAATCTCATTATAATAAACTTAAAAAGTATGTCCTAGGAAATGGTGAGATTTTTTTTTTTTGGTTAAAAAATTCTGACTAAATTTTCCATTTCATCTTCTTGTTTTTTTTAGAATATAAATAAATATTAAAAATATATATGAATTAGTTGACCCAATTGATTGATACGCAAATTTTAATTCCATTTGATTTTGTTTAGTTATAAATAAATATTAAAATGAAAAATTTACTTATAAATTTCATCTTGAGTAATGGTGATTTATTTAACCCTAAAGATTTTTTTATAGATCAATTAGTCCCATTGATTTTGGAAAGATAGATTTAATCTATTATTTAAAAATTAGATTTACGGTTATACCCTTATTTCTATTATGTTTCTTTCTTTCTTTTTTTTTTTCTTTTGTGCTAGAAAGGTAAGGTACATAATATATGAGAATCAAATTTGGGATATTTTTATATGTAAATTTTTTTTTATTTGGAAAACATTTCAAAAGGAGTATAAAAATGACTTGAACTATGAAATTTTTTAAACATTCCAAAACAATGTGTGATTCTTCAAACATTTTAAAAGGAGTATAAAAACTCCTTAGTAAGTTTTAGGCAAATGTATAATTTCAAACTGGAATACTCTAATGTAACACTCAAACGTAACACTCCAAAAAAAATTCTTAGTGTACTTTTCTCAAACGTAACACTCCAATATAATACTACAAAAAACTCCTTATGTTCGGTTGGGGGATTTTGGAAGAGATTTGAAAATGAAAAGGAAAAAATTAGGTGAAATGTGAATAAAATATACCTTCATTTTAGTTTCACACACCTTTTCCATTTCTCTTTTCAAATCCCTTCCCAAATCCCCCAACCAAACACAACGTTAGTGTAACACTCCAATATAATACATAAAAAAATTTCTTAGTATACTTTTCTCAAATGTAACATTCCAAAAAAATGATGTGGGATTCTTTAAACCATTCCAAAAGGAGTACAAAAATTCCGTAGTAACCTTTGGACAAATGTATAATTTCAAACTGTGAGTGTTACAATTGAAAAAAGTACATTAAGAGTTTTTTAGTTTTTTTTTTTTTGTGTGTGTGTTACATTGGAGTATGACGTTTGAAATTACATTGATTGGAGTGTTACATTTCGGTGTGTTACGTTTGAGAAAAATACACTAAGGGTTTTTTTGGAGTATTATATTATTACGTTTGAGAAAAGTACACAAAGAAATTTTTTAGTGTGTTACATTGAATTATTACGTTATTGAAGTATTATATTAGAGTGTTACATTATTGTGCATAATGTGAGATTTGTTCAAAAATGAGGAAAAATTCAAAATCTCTATAATACAGATTGCCTAAATATGTAATTTTACATTTAGAGAAACTCACTTTTATCCCTAAAAAATTAAAACCAAACATGTAAGTGACTACTCTTTTATGTAATTTTCACTTTAATGAGATATTTGGGTTCATAAGAAAAAATGAAAAATTAAACAATTTACAAGATCACATTTTAAGATTTATTGATACTCATCCTATTAAAATGTACACCGAAAATCTTCAAGTTATCCAAGGTAAAATTACTTTGGTAATTGGCTTCCTCAATTAATGATTCTTTGTACTTGGATTTTTCTATTTAATATCTCAATGCACATGCGGTCTAGGGAAGAAAATTATAATAAGAGAGGGGAGAGTAATGAAAATATAGGTATTGAGATTATCTACAATATATATATATATATATGGGTGGGTTAAGCATTCATGTTCTCTCATAGAAATATGTGCAAGATTATTCATGTTCGGCAAATGTATATTGAGATTATTCATGTTCTCTCATTGTTCATAACAATCTAATTTTCCCATTTATCCTCTCTAATTTATAAGTATTATGTGCAGGATTTTTCCAACAAAATGTTTATATTATTATACTTCAAGAAAAAGTTTAGTAGCTTTATCCCCATTTTTCTTGCAAGAGTATATATGTCCATTTGCTTTGTTGACAGTACCTGTTTAAGTGTCCATTAAAATAACTTCATTCTTTGCTATACAGGAGAAGCACAATTCCAAGAGGGAAATTGAATGGCCAGAGTTGAAGCCTTGTTTGTACAAGCGTCGGTGAGCTCTGAACAAAAGTGCTTGTGTCCCAAGATCAATGAGCCCAAATTGATATTGCTCTGGCTACTGCAGCATGTAAAAGTTTTTTTCGTGATCCTGATGTGGCAATATCGATTTTTTACATGTCTACATGGTATATGAAGCTGCTGGATGTTTGTGATATTGTATTCATGTTGAGGACTGGGTCTCACATGTACATGAATTGCCTACTGCTTTCATTTGTGCCCCCATGGATTCAGAGCATCCATTTATGCACTTGATAGGGTTTGGGGATAGAGGATTCATAGCTTGAGGACCTAATTCTTTGCCTTTGTAGAGCAAGAACTGTTTTAACTTGCCTTCGTTTGTATTACATTTAGAATTTGACGTTAAATATGAAATTTTTGGATGGTTGAAAGTGAAATGTGTGCACGTTGTGGAATAGTTGTTAATATAATTAGTATTCAAGGATTATTTTGTTTATGTAGTGTACATGTTGCACTAATAATGGAATAAATACAGGAGGTTGATAAATTAATTTTTTTTTAAAAAATTATAAAGTTTTTAGCGACTAAATATTTTGGTAGCCAAAAATACTAGCAAAAGTTTTTGGTGTCTATATATTTAGTAGTAAAAAAGAAACAAAAGACTTTTGAAGACCAAATAGTTAGTAGCCAAAACAAATCAGAATTAGGGAAAATACTACTGCCAACTAAATATTTTAGTCACCCAAGAACACGGCATCCTTTGGCAACTAAACTATTTGGTCATAAAATAGAAGGAAATGAAAATATCCACTCTTTTGGTGACTAAATTGTTCAGTCGTGAAAACTAACAATGACTAAACTATTTAGTTGCTAAATGCATTATTATTAGTGACTAAAATGTTGTAGCGACTAAATATTTTAGTCACTAAAAGAGAATTTCATTTTGTTTTGATTACTTTCGGCGACTAAATATTTCGTCGCCAAAAAGTTATGTTTGGCGACTAAATTTTAGTAGCTGAAGATGAGATAATTAGTGACCAACATCAATTTAGGCCTCGTTTGGGAATAGGCTAATTTAGTAACTTTTTTGCTATTTGGCTAAAAAAGTAGGTAAAAAAAAACTTATATGTTTGGGATGACTTTTTGGCTAATTACGAAAAGATGTGCAAAAAGTAGAGAGAAAAGAGAATCTTTGACTTTTTGATATGAGTTGTTGGCTTTTTGGCTAAAAAGGTAAGTCCCCAAACGGGGCCTCGTGATTGACCATTGCCGACAAGGCTTTGGTGACTAACGAGGTGACGAAGAACTTTAATCGCCATTGACTTTCGGCGACTAAAAAATTTGGTCACCAAACGTTTAATTTCTTAAAATGTATTTTAGTAACTTTTTGACTTTTTATGAAAGGATGTGCAAAAAAGTAGAAAGAGCGATATGACAACTTATAGTGACATTTTGACTAAAATATATAGTTGACAAACGAGACATAAACCAAAAGTTTTGGGGCTTAGGGAAATAATATAAGACAAGTTTGTAACACACCACAATAATTAAGGCAAATATGCCTAGTGAGAGTAGTACATACCAAGATGATTTGTTGCAAATTGCATCTCAATTCCATCTTCAGATAGCTGGTATGGGCAAAACATAACACAAGCATTGTTTCTGAAACAAATATAGATTATTCAAAACTTGCAATTTTTTTGTTTTTGTTTTCAGAGAGAAAGAGAGTACATTAAGATGTTGAGGGGAAGATTGAGAGAGTTGAAGTGATTAACGAAGGCTTTAATTGAGTTGATTGAGAAGAGGTCAAGTTTTAGGACATCCACACAAGCGGTTTCGTAGTCTTTAAGGATGAGGTGTTTGGCTTCATTAGCAGCTTCCATGTTCCTCGCTGCAATGATGACGTGGACATTCCTCAGAGCTAACACTCTTGCTGTCTCTAACCCAATCCCACTTGCTTCTCCTGCAACCACTCCCTCCCATCATTAAGTTCTCTTCTTATTTTTACAATTCCTCTCTTCGATTTTATAATTTTCAAGAACAGTTTTTGAATTTTTAATTAATATTTTTAAGTTTTTAATATTTTATTTTTTTATTTAATATTAATACACTTAAAAAGTAAAAATATTGTGAAAAAATTTATAAAAATTTGTTAAATACAAAAAATACGAAAATTATTTTTACATTTTTTTACAAATATTTACTTCGTTAAGTATATTTAGATTATGTATATTTAAAAAATAAAAAAATAACAAAAATATGAAGAAAAAAAAAAAACTACTCACTAAAGATAACAAAACATGAAAAATAAAAAATTATTTTTGAAAACTAAAAACCAAACCTAGTGAATAATAGAATTATCACATTTATTTATCAAATTTTATAGGGTAATTTTATTTTATTTTTAGATGGGGAAAGCCCAAAAGGTAAGATTACAATATACTAGCAGCATCTTGCAGCACCAACAGGTGAAGAGAGATAGGCTTCGTTTGGGAAGAAGGGTTGGATTGGGTTTAGAATTATTTTAATCACAAAAAAAATAAAATAAGCTTTTTAGCCCAATAAGATAACATGTCACATCCAACCCATAATTATTACATTCTTTCTCTCACAAAAAGTCAAAAAGTTCTTTCAAATGAGGTTTTTTATCCCTAGGCTAAAATAGCAAAAAAGCCAAAAAACCAAAAAACAAACCCACTTCCCAAACGAACCTAGGAAAATCTTCTATCCAAACTATGGCGTCGAGTAATGTATAGCCACAAATCTATAGCGTCAAGTAATGCAAAATAATGCGTCTCATTTATATCTATCTATTTATTAAAAGTTAAAATGCATACTTTTAATATGACTTATAATTACAATAATGTTATAGGCATGCCATTTTGATTTTAAATTATTAATATAATTAATGTGTAAATATTATTCACTTATTTTGTTTACAATTTCATGTGTTATAATTATATTGAATGACACATGTAATAATAAAAATAAAGAATAAATCTGGAAACGATGACCTATTCATCCAAAAAAAATTTGGGTGAGTAGTCATGTAATGGTGATTAATTTATATGATCTATGGTTTATATGTAAAATAAATCTGAACATAAATGATAATTTTTAAATAATTAAATCTGAATTTAATATTAAAAAATATAAAAAATGGCCATTCTAAAATTACTATTAATTTATTCACAATAACATCGACTAACAATAACGTCAACTAGGTAAGAGATTTCCCCTGCCTATTTGGGTATATATAAGGGCCGGATATGATGAGACTGGATGTAATATGAGGTGGGTTTACATGTTTTCTTGTTTTCCTATGTCCTGTGTTTGGTTATTCCGGATATAGGGAGTCCGGATAGTATATCCCTCAAAAAGGGATATGCAATATCAACCCCCATGGTATTATATATCCCCCACTATCGAATATAGGAAATCTTTCATCCAAAGATAAAAAATAATTACTTTCTTCTTATCTCATCTTATATTTTATCTTAATCAAATATAATATAAGTGACCCCATAGTATATATAATTCATCTCATATCCTCCAACATATTATATTTCATTTTTATCCTTAAGTACTACATATCCTTCTCAAATCTTTATATCTAATCATGACAATCAAACGGGCTTGAAATCTTTTTTTCTTCCAAGTCTCTCTTTACCACGTGATTATGTGGAGAGATTGATCATCAAATAAAAGAAATAATTTTTTGGAAAAATTACCTACATTGGTGTCAGTGTAATTTATTTATAAATTAATAAAAAAAATACTATTTATTATTAATATTTCTCATCTTTTGGTAAATAAGTTTCACTGATTGTCAGTGTAATGATCCCTAATTTTTTTTCTTCATGTCCAATCAATTGCCTAACGACAGTTTGGCCGGCCAACTGTCTGTTAGATATGTAACTAGAATATATATATATATATATATTTTATTACCTAATTTTTTTTCTTCATATCCAGTCAATTGCCTAAGGACAGTTTGATTGGCTAACCGTCTGTCAGAAATGTAACTAGAATATTTGACCAAACAAAAAAAAAGCAAAGATAAAAAAAATCACTTGATTCTAAAAAAACTTATTTGACAAATTATTTTTCCGTTTAGGAGATATTTTTAAATTGTTTATTGAATTTTTGAAAACTATTTTCATTAAGGTTTCGTTTGTTTTGAATTATTTTTGATTGTTTGATTGAACAAAAAATAAGTAAAACTTTTTTAAGGAGAATATTTTTATATCATTTTTTAAAAAATGATTTACCATTAATTTTTATAAAATTAATTTTCACGTAGTACATTTTCAAATAAAATATCTTAACTCACTAAAAAGTCTTAAATGACACTTTATTAAATCAAAATTTCTCTTTTAAACAATAAAATATTTTTGTTTTAAGTGCCAACCAAACGTCAAAAATAAAAACAAAAATAATTTTTCTATATAAATATTTCATTTTGAAACAAGCGCAACTTAAAAGACATAAAAACGATGGGGTTTTTAAATTTTATTTTTGATAATTACCACGAAAAACAAAAACCAAAACTTACCAAACAAAGCCTTCGTTTGGCAATGATTTTTTTAGTTGACTTTTTAATTTTTTTTGACTTTTTTAACCTGAGATTTTTTTGTTCGTTTGATATTCTTGATTGGCTATTTTAGCTTTTTAGCTCTGGAATGGTAGATTTTTTTTTTGTCCTTTTGTGATTTTTGACTTTTTGTGATTTTTTGACTTTTTTTTATCCTTTTGTGACTTTTTAGCCCAACTCAAAAGCTAAACAACCCCTTTGTATGAAAGAAACATTATGATGCAAATGATATAGACATATATATTTTTATAGATATGTATATGTTCTGAGAACGTCTAACTGGTAACAATGGCGGTGAGGATGGTAGCACCAATCCCTTGGGTAACTTGTTCAGTAGGTGAGGCTAATCCAAACCAACTTGGCTCTGCTATTCCTGTCATCAATGAGAAGATACCCATTTCCTCTATAATTCACAAATTGAGAGAGAGAGATGTGAAAGATGAAATAATGTTCAGTTGTAGTGAATAGGGAAAAAAAAAAAAGCAGAGGGGGGGAGGGGTTTGAAGGAATGAGGAAAGAGTAATTATAGAGATCCTAAATTTTTAATTAATTATCTTATATGAGTATGGGACTTATATTGTGTGGGTTCTACGCCCCTATGAGACATTTGATAAATTTTGGTAGAATTTTGAGATTTTTACCATTTTCATGTGGAAATTCAGTAGGAGCTTTGTGGGTAATAAATAGGTTCCAAGATGATTATTTAGTACTTAGGCCTCGTTTGAAAATAAATTTTTTTAGTAATTTTTTGATTAAAATATGATGTAAAAAAGATTAGCATGTTTGCGATGACTTTTTAATTTTTTATAAAAAGATATGTAAAAAATAGAATTTTTTTTTGACTTTTTGATATAAGTTATTGACTTTTTAATATTTTTAATGACTTCTTAACTTTTAAATTAAAAAGTGATGTTGTCAAAACATGTTCTCAAACGAGACCTTAGTGCTAATGCTTACATGGTCGATGGATTCCCTCTAAATTATCCTCCACCGAACTCTCAACAATTTGGCTTCGTTTGGGAAGCCAAAAGCTAGGCTTTTTTAGCTATTTTAGTCACAAAAAAGAAAATAGACTTTTTAGCCCAATAAGACAATACATCACATCCAGTCCATAATCATTACATTTTTTTTCTCACTAAAAAGCCAAAAAAAACCAAAAGCCCTTCCCAAATAAGGCTTTTTAGCCCCAAGCTAAAATAGCCAAAAAATCAACCCACTTCCCAAACGAAGGCAATGTAATTTACTCTCTATTTCCCTTTTTTCTAAACCGTTGAATTTTGAAAATTATAATCTTAAAATGAAAAAAAAATAGCGTAACTGTAACACCCTTCTATAAAACGACAAAATTACCTTTAAAATTATCACCTTGCTTGGTTTCCAGTTTTCCAAAATACTTTTCAGAAATTCTATTTTCTTATTTTTCGTATTTTTTTGTTTTTACTGAATTTTTTTAATGTTTTAAACAATATTTTTTACTTTTTAGACACACCTAACATAAATACACCTAAAAAGTAAAAAAATTATAAATTTTTTTTTTAAAATTCACTAAATACCAAAAATAAAAAAAAATACAAAAATTCAATACATTTTTTGTATTTTTATGTATTTATTAATTTTTTAAAATATTTTTTCACAATTTTTTTACTTTTTAGATACATCTAAGTAAGGTACATCTAAAAAAGTAAAAAAAATGTTTAAAATTTAAAAAATATCACTAAAAACAAAAAAACACAAAAACCAAAAAAGTCAATTTTCAAAAAACTTAATCCAGAAAACTCAAACCAAACACAGTAATAATTTTATCCTTTAGTTAGAAATTGGAATTAGTGTTTCACCTCACGGATGACAATTTGAGAAGCTGACGAGAGGCATTGGCATTTTCATGGCTTTCTTTAAACAAACAAGAATCTTGCATTTATGCCTCAAACACACAAAATATATATATATATATATAACCATCATTGTAGTCAAGCTTCAAGATAATCCCTGCTCTGATCAAAAAAGAAAAAAAGAAAAAAAGAAAAAGATAACCCCTGCAGCATACATAGCAACATTTTTCTGACATAGCATGTGAAGAAAATGACTTCTTTCCTGGTAATATCTTTATATCGACACAATGTATAACAACAGACTATTGAAGCTGAATAAGCTGACCTTGAATAGTCTTGGGTGATGAATCAGGATGTCCTTTTGGTTTGGCTAAAGAAATAACTAAACTATTCTGACAAAAAATACATTCACACTTGGCACGGCATTTCAAGATCCAAAAACTGGAAAAGGGGATTTCCTAGTTTTTGCCATCATGATTTGAGAACAGTTAGTTCTATGCGCATGCATACGTGCATATACGCAAATGCAAATCTCAAACCAGCCTACCTTGTCACAGGATTTGGAGAAGAATGGGGGAAAACAGAGGCCCTTGGATAAAGATCAACCAATTCACAACATTATCATAATACAACAAAATCATGGCCTCCGACATCACGAAAGGGATAGGGTGCATATGGTGTACCTTTTCCCAGTAAGCCAACAAAAGCAACTCTTTCAAATTTTCACTTTCAGCCCATTGCCACATCCTCCCATAGCTTTCAGGAAAAACCATCGCTTATGAGACAGGTAATTTCTCGAAACTATTACAAATTCCAACATTTTCACAATTTTGCGAACCCATTGTTCAAAGAATTTTATCCGCAGCCTCATCCACTTTCATATTCATGTTCAGCACCCTGCAAGACTTTTCTTCATTATATTCAGGTTCGGTGATATTAAACGAAGAACATTCTTCAATCTGATAGTCCCTCTCATCAACTAAAGCCCTCATGTACGAGCATGGCCGCTCTTCAGTTTCTATATTATGAAACGACTCTTGTCCTGGCCCACATGGCAATTCAAATGGTGAAGGGCCCGGAGGTTGAGTTCTCATCTGCACCGACTGCAAGAGCGCACCCCTCCTCAAGTCTGCTGAGCGGCATATATCACTAGGTGATGATGGAAACCGGCCCTCAGAATCACAGCCTCGCTGACGAGTTTGTGAGGAGGTGACGGTGGGTGAAGGGTTCGATGCGGTTGGGGGAGCAGAATAGAATCCACTCAGGGGTCTTTGATACCTGTATGGAGAGACAGGACTAGTTGGTAGGCTGTCAGGTTGGGATGAACAAGTGTGTATTGGAGTTTCGCAGTATCTCGAGTCATCAGAGTCTTCTGACATTGGAGAATATTGTAAGGACATCTCATCCCTGGAAACATAAAGGAGCGAAAACAAAGAGATCAAGTATTTTCAAAGAAAGAATTAGATAAGAGGAACAAGTTTATACTTTAAAAAGACATGTTCAAGGTACAACAAACCAACCAATTCAAAAAACAAAGAAAAAACGTACAACAAACCAAAGTTCCATAGGATCCATCCATTTGAGAATTTCTACAGGAGTGAAAGTAACATGGAGCAAGACCAAGACCAATAAAAGCATTCCTAATAATCCTAAAAATGCTAGAAATCAAGATGTCCCCAGAGGGTGTATACAGAAAATAAATGCATTCAAGTGTATATGCATAATAAATTATTTACTGGTACGGATATATCAAAAGGTATTTATATAAGTACATTATTCATATTCCTGATATTATTTATTTATTTATTTTTTATTATTCATAATACCTACAAGGTCTTCCAGAACATATTTGTTCTAGGACGGGATCCTTTTGTCCCCAAAAGTCCCTATCCCCGTCCCCACTCCCATGCACTTACAGTTGCACGATATGATTTTATTTAAATTAAAAATTAATTAAATGCAAGATGGTGCGGATATGAGTGCATGGATAGCAGGACATGCACTTTTGAGGGGCAAAGGATTTGAGCTCCGTGGTTCTTACCTAATTTATAGTGTTGAAAAGTATATTGAGCAAGATTTTTGCAAGTGGTGACACAGTAGCTTGTATCTTGTACTCTCAGTGGGGTGGCGGTTCAACTTCTCCTCATAAAAATTTAGACAAGAGGTAACCTAAAGCACAAAATATGAACTAATTCGAGGAGCACCCCACATCCCCCATGTACAGAACAAGAGCATTTAGGTTATAACTTTTAACAGTTCAATTTCTCCTCTTAAAAAATTAAACAGAAGGCTAGCCTAAAGCACAAAACATGAGCTAATTTGAGGAGCAACCCTTATCCCCGATGAACACAAGTTACACAACAAGAGTATTTAGGTTATAATTATGATCTAGAATAGAAAATAAGGATTTGAAAGACAAAGACAACTCATCTGCATGGCCAAAGAGAGGTGATTGTTTTTCATTTTTATAAAATACCAACAATGCGTCACTTACAACTTTACGCACTGCAGAGCAAGGCACCAGATATAATTGCAAAGGTTCAACTACAGTAAGCCAACACCAGAAAAGAATAAAGCATACAAAAGAACACTTTGCCCCTTGAAGTTTGCTATGTTCTAGGGCCATGGAACTCCAAAAATGCCACTTTAAAAGTTGGTTTTGAATCAACAAAGTAGTTGATTGGACTATGGCTTAAAACTAACAGCCCAAACGCCTTCAATCTTTATAAGACCAAAGATGTCTAGAGGTCATTCATTCATTGCAATGCTACATTCTACTAGACAACAAAAAGAAAAACAGATATGAATAACAACAAGAGGTATGACTTAGAAGTAGTTAACATATGATTCTACAAAGAATTTGATGTTTCTGAAAAAAAATTTGCACAAGACCAGAAGGGCCTAAATTTCTCCTCACTAGAGAATATGGTTGACAATGACAATCACTAACATGTGTGTGTGTGGTTTTTTTTTCTCTGGGAGGGGGTGACCAAACCAAGCTAATCAAGCTAGACTCGTGTTCGGTTTGTTAAACACTTGCTTGAGATCACTTTGTTATGTAGACAAATCAAACTTGCTCTGTTTGATTGAGTTTTCAAAGTTCGTTTTTGAAATTTTTTCAAAAAATTTATAACTATTTAGCCAGGAATAAACACCAGTTCTTTTTTTTTTTTTTTTTGAATTTTCTAAAATTACTTTTGTCTTCCAAAAATAGAAAACCATATGAAAATAATGAGTTTTTTGTTTCTGTTTTTTTGTTTTTTTTTACCAAACTAGGTTTTGAAAACTTAACCAAATAGATTTAAACCAAGCTTAAACAACCTATTCAGCTAGATAATAAGCTTATATGCACTATAAAAAATGAAGATACTCGAGCTTAACTCATAATCTTCTTGTCAGGGATGGAATCACCAACTGTTAATCCATTCAAACTCGATGCCATTATCTGCACAACCAACCAACTTTTAAAGACCCCCAAAATGGAATGAATTTCCCAAATTCGCAACAACAAAAAATCAAGAAATTCAAAATAATCTATCAAAATAATCAGGAAATTCATCAACATAACCTAACCTAATTATCGAAAGCATTAAATAAAGGATAATAAATGTCTTAACAATTCATCATTTCTAAACGAAGAGGGCGCAGATTGAGAGAGTGAGAGAGAGAGAGACCTCGCTAAAAAATATACTAGAATGAAAGAGAAATTGAGAGAGTTGAGAGAGTAATATTTCTGTTATGTTAACTCTATATCAGAAACACAATAGAGACTCCTTAATATAGGAGCTCGGATACAAGACATCATGATGATGTAAATTAATAAAATAAGAAAAGCGACGCCGAAAGTTAGTGGCGACCGAAAGCAATCCTAAAGCAAAGCAACCTAAAGCTATCGTTGTATATTATATATACATATTATATTAATACTATCTATACATACTGACATATATAGTATTATATTCATATATATGATATTCATATGTTAACAGCCCCCCGCAAACTCAAGGAGGACAAACATCAACCAACTTGAGTTTGGAGACAAGTTCAACGAAGCGACCAGGAGAATGGGCTTTGGTGAAGATATCAGCAGGTTGATCAACAGAGGAGATTGGAAGGAGATGGACAGTACCATGAGTGACGTGTTGACGAATAAAATGACAGTCAATCTCAATGTGTTTGGTGCGATTATGAAAAACATCATTGTGAGCAATTTGAAGAGCACTTTGATTGTCACAAAACAGGGCAGTAGCACCAGAGGGGGAAACACCCATGTCAGTGAGAAGCCAATGAAGCCAGAGAAGTTCTTGAGTAGTATCAGCAAGAGCACGATATTCAGCCTCGGTACTGGAGCGAGCAGTAAGAGATTGTTTCTTGCTGTGCCAAGAAATAAGAGAATCACCCAAGAAAAAGCAGAACCCTGTAGTAGAGCGCCGGTCAGTAGGATCCCCAGCCCAATCAGCATCGGAAAAGGCACGAAGCTGTAGAGAGGAGTGGGCGGAATAATGAAGTCCATGAAACATGGTACCTTTGAGATAACGAAGGATACGAACTAAGGCGGCATAATGAGGGGTACGAGGAGCGGACATAAACTGGCTGACAATGTGAACGACATAGGCAATATCAGGACGAGTAACAGTGAGATAGACAAGGCTGCCAACCAGCTGACGATATAGGGTAGCATCAGAGAGAAGAGTACCATCAAGAGGTGTAAGACGACTCTGGGACTCTAGGGGAGTGGAGGCAGTCTTGCAATCCGTAAGACCAGCGCGAGTGAGAAGATCAGAGGTATACTTAGCCTGAGAGAGAAAGGACCCCGTGGAATCATGGAAGATTTCAAGACCCAAGAAATAGCTGAGAGGACCAAGATCTTTCATCTCGAAATGACGGCTAAGAAACTGTTTAAGGCATACAATACCATCAAGATCGTCACCGGTGATAATCATATCATCCACATAAAGGAGAAGCAAGGTGGTCCCTTGAGCAGTGTTGCGGATAAAAAGAGCAGTATCATAAGAACTGGAGGTGAAACCACAGTCATGCATAGTGGAGCTGAACTTGGCAAACCAAGCGCGTGGAGCTTGTTTGAGACCATATAGAGCACGCTGAAGTTTGCAGACTTTATGAGGGGGATAAGTAGACCCAGGGGGAGGTTGCATGTAGACCTCCTCAAGAAGAACACTATTAAGAAAAGCATTTTTCACGTCCATTTGATAAAGATCCCAGTGTCGGGAGGTAGCAACTGCAATCAGGCTGCGAACAGAGGTGAGACGAGCAACAGGAGCAAATGTCTCTTCATAGTCAATACCATATTCTTGGTTGAAGCCTTTTGCAACAAGGCGGGCTTTGTAGTTCTCAATAGATCCATCAGAACAAGTTTTGATTTTGTAGACCCGTTTGCAACCAACGGCAGTCTTGCCAGGAGGAAGATCAACAATGTCCCAAGTGTGAGTTTTGTCTAAAGCCTGCAATTCATCAGTCATAGCTTGCTGCCAAAGAGGATTAGAGCGAGCCTCACGATAGGAGGTCGGTTCATAAGTGGAAAAAGCAGTAGAACCAACAATAAAGTCACGAAGACGAGTAGAAGGTTGAGTTACCCGGTGTGGTCGAGTAGAGGCAGGAAGAGCCAGAGGAAGAGACTCACCAGGAGGGGAGGATCCCGAGGAAGCAAGAGCAGGACCATCAGAGTGAGCAGGGGTATGGGACAGACCAGAAGGCAAGGCATGCTCGAGAGAGGCCGGCAGGGGCGGTCGAGTAAGCTCATCAGAGAACTCGAGAGAGGCTGGCAAGGGCGAGGGAGTAAGGTCATCAGAGAACAGATCCGTGGAAGGGTCAGTAAAAAACAGAGAGGGTGAGGGAACGGACAAACGGAAAAGAGAGAGAGAGGAAAACATTTTGTGTTCCCAAAAGATGACATGACGAGAGATACGGAGGCGTTGGGAGAGAGGATCCCAACAACGATACCCCTTGTGTTCAATACCATACCCTAAGAAGCAACAAAGGCGAGAACGTGGTTCAAGTTTGGTACGTTCATGAGGTTGAAGAAGAACAAAACAGGCAGATCCAAAGACCCTAAGGGTGGTGTAAGGGGGACGGGTGCCATGCAGACGCTCATAAGGAGTGTGATTATGAATGACAGGTGTAGGGATACAATTGATAGTGTAAGCAGCAGTGAGAGCTGCCTCGCCCCAAAAATGTTCCGGACAAGAGGAAGACAGAAGGAGAGCTCGAGTAGTGTCAAGAATATGTCGATGTTTCCGTTCAGCACGTCCATTTTGTTGAGACGTACCAGGACAGGAACGATGAGGTTGAGTACCATGACTCTGAAGAAAGGAAAGAAAATCAAAATCTTTATATTCCATGGCATTGTCGGAGCGAAAAACCTTAATATTTTTAGAAAATTGAGTTTTAACCATTGTAGCAAAATTGTAAT